GACATTCACGCGATGCTGTTAGTTTCTTTAGCCAGTAGGTGCGGATCATGTCTGGGCCAGGTGCTATCCAGCTCTTCATGCTCTTGATCCACTGTTGGATGTCTACTACTGTGATGGTGACTGGTTCCTGTTCTGAAAGATTGCTGTGGTCTGCTCTCAGGTCCCGCGCCACTTTGCACTGGTGCTATATGTCTTCTCTTTCTCCCATATGTTCTTCCAGTACTGTTCAGTTTCTGCTGTTGGTGGTTCTGCTGTTGGTGGCTCTGCTGTTACTGTGTTGTGGAACTGCAGTTGGGAGTACACCTTGGATGGTTCTTTGGGCAACAGGCCATTCATCTTCTTGTTTCTCTGCTTCTCTAGTGTATCTCCTTAGCCTGGTAGCCAGTGCTGTGAACCTTTGTTTAGCAGTCTCTAGGGCTTCAGATGGAGCCAGGCCCGTGTATTTTTTCAGTAACCAATTTTTATTCATAATCTTTACACCCTTCTGTAGTTCCACCAGCTGCCTAACTTCTCTCCAAGTTGCCTTGGTCTTAGCCTCCAACCTCATTTTCCAGGGGGGTATGTACTGCTGTTCTTCTTGATTGTGTAGCCAAGCATCTCCAGGATTACAGCGGCCAGTTCATTGGTTTGAGTTATGGTGGTGGTAGGGATTGCCATGAGGGCTCTATTAGTATCTTCTAGCATACTATCTGATGGTACTTCTCCACTGAGGTAATCGGTCTCAAGGATTGACTGTAGCTAGTTGATCTATGATCTTATGCCTCATATTAGCTACTGTGCTCTGTAATGAGGGGGTGGCTGTGATGTTCCAGCTTCAGGTGTTCAGCCACATCCAGTTGTTCTTCCGGGTCTTTTTGAGTCTGGGACGTGACGTGTAGTTGGTCTGTCTCAAGCTGTGAGAGCAGCTTCCTCTTCACTATGTTGAAGCATTGGGTAACTAGCTAATACAAACATTTTCAGGTGGCCTCATTTATATTTAGGCTGAGGCTATGCCATGAAATCAAAGAACAAAAGTGAACGATCGGAACTTAACGTGTTTTTCTTAATCACAATGACAAATTATGGTAACATGAATCCTTTATCTGAAAGATACATACATCTAGCTTCTAATTTTAATTTTAAAGCTTGCTAACCTCCAGTTGCTGCTGTTCCATTTTAGTCAGCAAGAACTTTGAGTAGATGTTGCTTTTTTCAAGCAAGTGTTGAAGTCTCTTGTAACGCATTTCATTTGAGTCTCTATCCCAGGTCATGTAAGCCTACAAGAAGAAGAAGTCATCAATTATCAATTTCAACATTAACTGACCATAGTATTAACTGACCATAGTAACATAAAAGTTGGTATTATCTTTCATTATAGTTAAAATTATATAAAATTTAAATAATTCAGCCCTATGATTTTCTTCAAGGACCCACTGGAAATACATTATTAGTCAACTGAGAGATCCCACAATTGTAATTTCTCCAGTTTCTTGATGGGAAAATGTCATTTTATATATTCAGTGCTGTCCTACTCTGAACCTCTTAACTTTGTAAAATTAGATACTGAGTTTCATCAAAGTAGGGAACAATTAGGCTTGCAATCAGTTAACTTGAGTTAAAGGAGCTTTAATTAGTTTCATTTGCATACGTTTTACAAGAATTTCCCAAACAAAGCATTTTTTAAAAAAGCGGATCTCTGTATCGTGTACAAAAGAAATAGACCAAAATAGACTGGATAAAGTTTTAATAATAAAAAATAAAATAAATAAAAATGAAGAGGTTTTAGGAGATGCACAGATCCCACCTGGAGTACCGCAGCCTATCCTGAATTTAAGAAGGAACTGGACTTGTCTGGCCTTGAGGAAAGACAACCTAAGGGGAATAAGGAAGCACCTCCCTGAAGGGAAAGTCAAGACTTGCTCCCTCGTTCCAGAGGATAGGCTTACAGAAGGCAGATTTTGGTTTGATGCTAGAAAAACCTTCCTAACCAGGAGCGCTTCGAGGGCAGAAACAGCTTCCCAGGGGCGCTGGGTCCCCTTCATCGGAAGGGAGCCGAGACTGCCGTCTCTCCCGGGCGCGCCGACCGGGGCCGGCCGA